GAAGTCACTAATAGATTTATCTTGTGAGCATCTTGGAACCTGTGACAAAGAGACTCCATCTTAACTTGACTGTTCTCGGTTCTCCAACCTCATCCTCGCACACAGGCTCCGAGAATATACTCTGATCCTCCTCATAGAAGCAGCCCTGTGGACGTCTAAATAGCTTCACAGTGTAGTTTTTGTTCCTATTTGTAGCACCGTGTTAACCGATCATGTACTTTGCAATCAATAATGAACTCCAACATCCTCAGGCCCCGCTTTACTGATTTTCATTGTGAAATCTGTCCTGACCCACTGCTGGCACTGAACCTTTCTGCAACACCAGGTCACCGTTTGGAAATCAAATAAATCAGGAGCTGGCTTGTGTACAAGCCGAAGAAAAGTGGCGTTTCCATTGCTATGTAGGTGGCTCTGACCTCAACTGCAGGAGATGGAGGTTGGTTCTTCAGGGATAATGGACACAGAGTGAAGATTGGGTCATCTTAACTACTCAGTGAATCCAAAATAAATGAGGAAGAAGTTCAAGGTCAGATGCATATATGATCATCCACTTCATAATTTAATATTGCTGTAATTCAGACTAAGTTATTGTGATGATTTTTATTTACACACTAAAAATATATTATAATTGAGGAAAAAAGATGTGTAAATCGCATGGTAGGATTTTTCTGTATCATGCTACTCTTTCTCTGTGACAATCTTTATCAGATCCCAAGTCCCTGTTTTTGTGGAGTCTCTAAAGCTCACAGTTCTAGACATCACACTCCCTGTATATGAAACATATGGAAAGAACCTCCATGGGCAGTAGGGTTCCAAAGTCACCCCCTTAGACCATCTCCTTACTTATGCCCCCTTATCCTTACCAGGGATCCAGAACATTAGCACCCCCAGGAAATGAACAAGATTCCTCCTCTTGAGAAGCTGAACTAAGGATTCCAGATCAGTCCAGGCAAGGTTGGAACTGAACTTTTATCCTGTACTTGAAAGGGAGATGCCTCCCATGGAAACAATATGCAAAACTCCTGGTGGGTAAAGCAAGTAGAACCAGGCAAGTGTAGAAAGCCCTAGGGTGAGCCTAGTGATATAAATATCTTTTATAGTTGAAGGAAACCAATAGAGATTAAATTTGTGTTTTCTGAAGGAGTCTGCAGAAGTCTACAGTGAATGTCGGTGATGTCGGGGTAGGGGGAGACAGGATGCATATAGCACTGACAACCTAAGATAGCCAGAGACCTGAGGATATACATGCTTCTTAATCTTTGGGAGGAGAAAGAGAACCCTGCTGGGCTCCCTCATCTAGTATTGATAAGAAACAACTCTCACATCATAATTAAAGATCTTCAGAGTTTTTTTCCAGTCAGTGGCAGAGAGTAGAACTCATTCAAAAGATACTGGTATTAGCATGACCAGGCAAACCATAGAAATGGTGCAAAAACCACAAATAAATGTTCTTTTTCTAGACCTAATGATTTAAAATCCACAAAAGTTTTCAAAGATAAGGAACTTTTGAAGGAGGAAACAAATCTCTTTCTACTACAGGTACAACATGTTGTGGAAGAGCCCTTTTGGTCATGACTTCTTTCAGATATGTGTGTCCATATATACTACCTACATACATGTCTTTATAATGTACCTAAGTATATACATTATATTTGTAATCAAACATTACAATAAGATTTATTTATTATTTTTCTTTTACATATATTCTTGTGTCTGTGTGTATCCCATGTGTGCGTGGGTTCTCAAAGAGGACATAAGATGCCATTGGTTGCCTGAAACTAGAGTTACAGGTTGTAAATCAGCTGAAGTGCATGCTGGGAAACAACTTGGGCCCTCTGAATAGTAGAAGTGTTCTTTACCATGAGCCATCTTTCCAAGCCAAAAGAATCATACATCTCTTCAGGGAAAGTTCAAATACATTGAATTAGGTTATTTTTTAAAAAGACAGAGTCTTTCTATGTATCCTAGGCTAGCCCAAATCTTTGCAGCCTAAGCTAGCTTCAAATTCATGTTGGTCTCCCTGCCTCACCTTCCTAAGGCCTGGGAATCCAGGTGTGCACCACCATAGACGGTTTAACAAAGGATTCTTTTATGTTAATGATTTATATGAATTATTATAGAAAATCCTTTCATGTCTACTCCTTTTTGTCATGGATATTAGGTAACCACACTCATTCATTCCTCTCTAAGGAAGAAGGTTATGTGTTAGAATAGCAAGGCTTAGTCTAGCCATGAAATGTCTCAGATTGATTTGAATCTAAAGCTGACATTCTCTGGACCTCTATCCTTGGTAACTATGGAAAATATGCTTTGTCAGAGGAGCTCAAGTTCATCAAGCTCAGGCTTCCTGCCTCCAAACCTGTGAGAAAATCTGTGTTTTTTTCAGTCAACAGGTTGTTTTGCAAACACACAAAGAATCCAATGCATCACTAAATACTGTGGAATTCTGATTTGTGAGAAAGTAGTACTTAAGTATTCTGTCCTGCTTTTTTATTATAAGGAAAAGAATGTGAACATGTGAACCCCTGACTGTCCATGTTCTCTCCTTTCATACTGTGAGAGCACATGGGTTTAGCTGCAGGATCTTTTGGGTTCTAAGACTTGGTGTTCCATCTGCCCATTCTGAATGAGTTATAGTAAAGGAAATTAAGACAGAAAATGTGAAATACAAAAAGCAAAGGTCAGGAATGTTAGACAACTGTGTAGACAGAAGGAGGGCCAAGTCACTCATCTTTCATATTCTTTTGTGGTCTTTCTTATTCTTGAATTCAGAAATTGGGAGCTCCCTCAATCCGCATTCTGGCTGGCTTTTTCTTGTTTCTATCTTGCCACTTATAAGTGAGGTTTAAATCTAATTAACTCCAAAATTTAATATTATATACTTGAAAAGTAAATGCATAAAATTTAAATAGATAATAAAGCAAAATAAAAGCATACTGAT